TATTGAAGAAGATAGTATATAATATTGTATGGAAGAAGATAGCATATAATATTGTATGGAAGAAGATAGTATATAATATTGTATGGAAGAAGATAGTATATAATATTGTATGGAAGAAGATAGCATATAATATTGTATGGAAGAAGATAGTATATAATATTGTATGGAAGAAGATAGTATATAATATTGTATGGAAGAAGATAGCATATAATATTGTATGGAACAAGATAGTATATAATATTGTATGGAACAAGATAGTATATAATATTGTATGGAATATTATATACTATCTTGACAAATGGAACAAGATAGTATATAATATTGTATGGAACAAGATAGTATATAATATTGTATGGAAGAAGATAGCATATAATATTGTATGGAACAAGATAGTATATAATATTGTATGGAACAAGATAGTATATAATATTGTATGGAACAAGATAGTATATAATATTGTATGGAAGAAGATAGCATATAATATTGTATGGAACAAGATAGTATATAATATTGTATGGAACAATATTTTTTATTTTGTGAACAATCCTATTTTGGAATTTTAGTTTACCATTTGCACTGTTATTTAAGAAGAGTACAGTGTTGAGTACAAGTTAACAAAACACAAATTACGAACTTTTTCTTAATCATAACAAAGTTATCATGGCCACTCCTTACTGAAATTGTCTTCATTAGAGTATACTCCAAAGTGTTTTTTCTTAGAAACGTTTAATGTATATTCAACAAACTATTGCGATGTTTTCTCAAGGGGGAAAAAAAAAGAAATAACTCAAATCAAAAATGAGAACGGAGAAAGACGTAATATTGATAAAATAAATAAAAATTAATAACGAAAAACAGACTATAGGTATTCTCCGGTAGATTGTTTAAGCAGAGTATTCATGATGAGTAAACTGGAACTGTCTACAAACTGTCTTTTTGTAGAAAAAACACGAGTGTAGAGAACGAAGTGTTCCGATCTTTCTGGACGTCTGGTCACCCTATGATAGTATGTAATACATCGTAGCATCTAATCTACAACAACAACAAACTCTGTGATTCTAGAGTATGTAATACATAATAGCATCTAATCTACAACAACAACAACAAACTCTGTGAATCTAGAGTATGTAATACAGCGTAGCATCTAATCTACAACAACAAACTCTGTGATTCTATGGTATGTAATACATCGTAGCATCTAATCTACAACAACAAACTCTGTGATGCTAGAGTATGTAATACATCGTAGCATCTAATCTACAACAACAAACTCTGTGATTCTATGGTATGTAATACATCGTAGTATCTAATCTACAACAACAAACTCTGTGATGCTAGAGTATGTAATACAGCGTAGCATATAATCTACAACAACAGACTATGTGATTCTATGGTATGTAATACATCGTAGTATCTAATCTACAACAACAAAC